CAGGGTTTTAATTTGGGGAGTGACAAGACATTTTAAATTTTACAAAGATGAATTTGAATGCCACCGGACCACAGACTGGATAGAATCCAATGTCTGGACTCCCAAGCACTGACTCCAGAGTGCTGTCTCTGATGCCAGACTAAACCTGATCACTCTTCCATTTAACCAATTATATTTACCCTACCTTGAAGATAAAGTTTAAATATTTACCTAATAGACTAGCATTTCACTATATGCTCTTGTTTACTTCTTCCTAACTTCCACGCCTTGTGGTCACCTTGGACTTCAACACCTGGTTCTTCAAATCACTTGTGAGTCTTAAAAGATGTTGTCTATGCTGCTCCCTCCCCATCCATGTAATTTCTCTTTGTCCATCAAAGATCAGCTCAAGAACCAGATCTCCAGAGAACCTGTTATTAACCATCCTCTTCCCCAAGCTGAAGTGACAGGACAATGCAAGGAATGTTATGTCACTTGTCACCCAGATTGCCAGCTAGTTTGTGTGTCTGTCTTCATCAGCACAGAGAGGGAGTAGGGGGTGCAACAGGGCATCTCAGGGACTGGACATAGCAGGGCTCACTATATGTTAATAACTTGGCCTGCTTTCTTGCTCTCTAGTCACTAGTACTTCATTAATACACAAAGTTTTACTAACATGACAATTAAAGCAGCTCCAGCCTAATCATTCTTTGATATCTGTATGGTATTTTGCATTTATCTATCACACTTTTAGTTTATAGAGATGCTTCAAACACCTGTTCCTTGACCACCACTACGTCCCTATGAGGACGTGCACGGTAATGCAGGGCTGGTGAAGAAGTCAGGTCTCCTTGTGGGTACTGGCTTCACTTTGTGCCGGGTGAACTGGGACTCTGGGGCAAAGGCCTCTTGGTCTGCTGTCTTTAAGCCTGGTACATTTTTAATTGTGTGGAGGTTTTGATTTCCTCTTTGGTCAGGGGTTATTCAAGAAAGAAAAAAATTTAATTTTTAATTGGCAGAAAAGAGCTGAGAACATTCTGGAAGCTGACTGAATTTTTCATCTGTGCCTATTTTTCTTTTAAATTTAGATTTCTGGAATAAATGTTTCCTGATTGGTGTTTTAGGTTTGGGGGAGGGGAGTTGTTTGTATTGGGATCTTTTTGTTTTGTTTGTTGGCTTAAAACAACAGAAATTCTTAGTCTCCCAGTTTGGAGGCTGAAAGTCTGAAATGAATGTGTCAGCAGGGCCATGCTGCATCTGAAGTCTAAGGGGGATCATTCCTTGCCCCCGTCCTGGTTTCTGTTAATCTTTGGCATCCTTGACTTGATCCTCCATTTTCCCTGTGTCTCATGTTCTTCATAAGGCCATCTCCTTATAAGGACTGTTCCCTGGCTCAGTCTTAATTTTAGGGATTTACTAATGTTCCCTTATGGCCTACCATATTAATATTTTTTGTAAATATTCCATGTGTATTTGAAAAAGAACATGAGTGATGTCTTTTGGTATGATTATAAAGTTCAATGTATATGCATCAAGTCATATATACAACTAAAAATCCTAATATCACTAGATAATTTTGGTCAGCTTTCTCTGTCCAGATTAAGAGATGTACATTTAAGTTTCTATACACAATGGTGGTTTTGTTAGTTCTCCTTATGTTACTAGAAGGTATTGCTTTATATCTTCTTGAAGTCCTGTTATTCAATAAATAAGAGCTCATAGTTAAATCAATGTATATGATATATCATGTATCAATATAAGACAGCATTTTTTTAAAAGATTTATTTATTTATGTATTTATTTATGCATTCAAGAGCTGGGGTACAGGCCAGAGATGCGGAGGGTGAGAGGATCCACCAGAGACAGAGCAGGGAACAGAATAGGCAGATTGACTGAATTACACTGCTGAGGGGAGCAGTGGGCAAGTCAGGAGAGGTCTGCTGCGCCATGTGGGTTTCTCCCTGGCCAGCCGGGGATCAAACTTGTGCTGCAGAGGCTGTGGATTGCTTCATAGTGCAGTGCTTAATCCCTTGTGCCACCAGGGAGGCTCAAGACAGCATTTTTATTTAACTCATTATTCAATTTATAATTTCCTTTGATTATAATAGTAGTTAACATCTTTAAAAATATTTTATCTGTAATATATTTAATATATTCTCAGTTCTTTATCTTTAACTCTATTTTGAGTGATTCTCATAAAAATTCTAGAGATGGATTTTTATTTTTAACTAATCTTTAAGACATAAATTTTGCCAAATATTTATCATCTTTTCCTCTCATTTATTTATTTATTTATTTGCTTTCTTATTATTTTCCTTTTTTACTTTGTTACACTGGAACTTCCAAGTGGTCTTCCTACACCAGGGACTAAAAGTAGAAATGACATAAAGTGTTATTTTGATGTTGGATTTATTAATAGCACAGAAAATGTTTTTACATACAGTTTACGTACAGTTATCTAGTTTCGCTGCACAAAAACCCTATATGTTATTATTCCAATTTTTTAGATAATGAAATTCAGTTTCAGAAAACTTTGGTACTTGTCCAAGTTCCCAAGACACTGAGATCCACAGATATGAACACGGACAGACACTGATGATGAAGCAAAGTGAAACAAATTATTCTGACTGCAAATCGCTTAGTTATAGCCAAATGGACTCACAGCCTAGCTGCCGCCAGGAGCATGTGGACTTACCACTCACAGACATCCCTTGGACCAGCCTAGACTTGGCACATGGGAGAGACTGAGTTAATGTCTGCTGATTGATTATGTTAGAATAATCATGGCTTCAAAGGAGATGGCAGTATTTCTCTGGATGTCCAGAAGGTGGCGCTACATAGTCAAGGGGAAGTGTCACATCACTTTGCGTGAAGTCATCAAAATCCATACAGGTCCTGACTTTCAAAAGGAAAAATCAATATTGAAAATGTAGAAAAATAAAGGAGATACTCTTAAATCAGTGGCTAACACACTTATATTTACATATACATTTATGTATTAAAAATTTCAATAATTTGTCAAAATTTGTTTTTAACATCAAAAATCCCACAGGTAAAAAAATCCAGAATGATGTATATGAATCAGTCAATCCAAACCAAATTCTAAATTCAAGTTAATTGCAAAACTCAACTTAATAATCATTTTGTCGGCCTTGCAGATTGTTCACTACTATCCTTTAGTATCATATCTGCTTGTGCCTTGGCCATTCAGAGGGTGGGCAGCACTCTCCCAGGGGACACTATGAGCTCCTTCTCTTAGGGGCAGAGATTGCATCTGGTCTATGTTCACGACTAGCCCCTGTCCCATAAATATGAATGGATTAAATCTATGCCTTTAATTCTGGTTCAGCACAGTTTTGAGAAGTGACAGGTTAGGGACCATAATTAAGGGACCGGAAAACATCCCTTTTCCTCTAGACATGGCACACAAGCCACATGGATGATGTATCTTTATTGCTGCATTGCTTGCTTGAGATGGCCTCTCGAACACACTTGTATTTGAGTCAGTATTATTTACTCCTCCCTTTTAGTAATTTTAATTTTCTGTGATGTGGGGGTAGAGATTTTACTAGATAACAGTTTGTCTTAAAATCACTACTAGGTTTTAGAAGGTATTTTAAGATGTTTGAAGAGCATTAAAGAGTCAGCTAAGTATTAAGTACTAATCACCTGCTGGGTGTTGAGAACTGTATTCCAAAAGAAGTGTAAACATGTTTCCTTTCTCTTGAAGCCTTTGTCAACTAACTATAGAATTCATAGCATGAGACAGTATGTGTGAAAGTGCTGAAATTTGTAACTAATACATAATGCAATCTGATTACTGAGGAAGAGCCACTGTTATTGACATTTAAATGTCAGTCACTGTATTGGATAACTTTTAGTTACTTTTATTTACGCAACCCCAAATCCTATGAAATCGCTAAGTATCCCCATCTTCCAGAAGAGGAAACTGAAATTTTAAGCAATGTACAGGTCATATACCAAGTGGGAAGCATGGCCAAGATTCAACCCTTGTCTCCTATAACTTATTGAACCTATAAGTTATCTTGCCACCTCCCTCCAGGACCATTCAGGATGGACTGGTGCAGTGGTCTTCACAACAGGGGTTTGAGTTTAGAGGTTCAAAAAAAGATTGAATAGGTAGGTGGGAAACAGGTGCATCTGTACCTGTCAGCATTCTGGGAGGAAAGAAATAGAAAACCCAAAGTGGCAATTAAAGTTAAAGGAAGAGTATATTTACAGCAGGAGAGCAGGGTCACAGACCAGCAAAGGGAGATGAAATGCTCAGGAAAGGTCACCATCTCCAGGCCTGTGGGCAAGGGGGGAGAATGGCATGGCATAAATCCAGTATAGTTTGGGAAAGGAGATTCCCCCAACAGCTGTGGCTGGGCTTAGAGGATCCCCAGCCATATTGAATCCAGGAGGCGAGGGAATGGAGAGCAGGAGTGAAGTGAATGGTCCCAGCTTTGTCTCCTATGGCCCTACGTCTCCTGTTTGATCTCCTGTTGGCCAAATGCATTAGAAGCCAAAGGACAAGGAGCCCATGTGGTGTGTCTGTAGATGTGAGCCTTGGGGCACAGAGCTGGGCAGAAACCTTGGAGAATCGCTGTGGGCACAGAGTGAGAGTGGTGGCCACTTTGTTATAGGGAGAGCAGGCAACATGTGTGCAACCCTAGCTGAGGAGCTTGGTCCCCCTGAGGGGCCTGTGCCCATCAGCCTCAATGTCCTGGGGGGTCTGATCCGGGAAGTGGTAGGACATGAAAGTGATAGGCAGTTGGAAGCCCCAAGTGTCAGGGAAAGGCAGCTGATCTTAATTTGACATTCAATCATAAGCCAATATTGTTGCACATAAGCTATAGTTAATTTAATTATTTTCTAAGCCAGAGATCTAGAGAGATATCACAGAAGAATGGTTGGGGAAAGGAAGGACAGAACTTTGTGGGTGTCTGCTCATCCCCCAGGAATGTGTGTGCGTGCACATGTTCACGATCCCTTCCAATTTGGCTCTCTCTATGTTCCAGTGACCTACGGGATGATGAGCTCCAGCGTCTACTACTACACCCGGGTAATGTCACAGCTCTTTCTAGACACCCCAGTGTCCAAAACGGAGAAAACTAACTTTAAAACTCTTTCTTCAATGGAGGACTTCTGGAAGGTATTTGCAAATAACTTTGAAAGTAACTCTTTTCACTGGAAATGATGCATTTGGCTTCCTAGATTCAATTCAGTGGTGTCTGCTTTGCATTTAATGCTATGGGAGAAATTGTAACTTCTGGTGAGTTGTTCAGAGTTAGGGTTCCTACCGTCAAAGAGGGGTAAGCTAACATTTACCAGGAACTGTGCATGTACCTGGCTCTGCTTTTCATACCTTTCTCGGTCCATCTCCACAGTATTAATCTAAGTACTAAGCTAAATGCTAATCTTATGCTCTAAGCTGTAAATGGAGAAATTAAGATTTAAAGTTGCTTACGGACAACTAGGGAGTAAGAAGCATGGAATTTTTTCTAGCCTCACACATTTTTCCAGCTTAGACACGTCTTATGCTACTTTATGCTTCGTTTAGTCATTCACAAGTCAAATATCTGTTGAGCAGTAGGACATAAGTCCCCTCGGGGCAGAAGCTGGCTCTTTTGTCTTGCTCTGTTTGTCTTTTGTTTCTGTCCCTGCTGGCATGTACAAGGCAAGCATGTTGTGTCAAAGATCTCTGGTGTGAATTCCCACCCAGCCCCTTCAGAGATTGTCTCAAATTCTAACAGAGGAGAAGCAATGACAGAGGAGAAGCAGTGAGTGACACCATAGGAGAGACAGTATATTAAACTGATGGGGAAGATAGGGTTCTTGGAATCTAAGAAACTTGGGAGGAAAACTGGAAAGGAAATGATTGTTTCTTTTTGGGTTCTTACTAAACCTTGGACTCAAAGCTGTTGATGTTAAAGATAGACAACTGGATCACAGGAATCTATTAATACTAATGCGTAAAACACTTGGCACCTGAAACCATGCCTGTATAATGTACATTTTTCCCCACCTCAGCTGGGCTGACCAGTATATCTCAACTGATCATCTCATAAGACACTGAGAAATGGCTAGCTCTGTCTTCCCTATTGGCAAACTAACAAGAGACTTGTCACATATCCACAATTCCATGATAAGAAATGCCAAACCATAGAAGCCACAGCTGTGGGGTTGGAAAATTTACCACATGGCATAAGGGTACAGACAACTAAAAGATCCACCAGGTGGCAGACGGGTACTTCAAACTATAATCTCTTCCTCTCCAAACACGTTTAGAATGGTGGTCATACGGGATGCTGTTTTCGCAAGCAGTAATGAAGCTGACTGGCTGGGGATTTGTGCATTGCCCTCTCTCCCCCACCGCCCATTAGCCTAGAGCTAAAATCAGGGTTACGATTTATTGAGCACACACTCTGCGCCCAGTGTAACAGCTGTGCAAAAGATGGACTTTTATAGATGTGGGGACCCTGGCTCAAAGGGGAATCCTACCCATGACCTCACAGCTAGCAAGGGATGGAGCAAGATCTCCCCTGAATCTCTGGCTGCAAACTCACCCTTGTCCCTCTACTGCGCTCACAAAGCTGCCAGACGGTGGGTCAGGCACACATTGCAGGAATGAGCAAGGCAGACGCCGACTGGCAGCTGTTCAAAATGTGCCCTTTCCTGTCAGTTCACAGGGGGTGCCTTGTTGGATGGGCTGTACTGGAAGACGCAGCCCAGCAATGGAACGGAAGCCGACAACCGAAGCTTCATCTACTATGAAAACCTCCTGCTGGGGGTACCACGCATACGGCAACTCAAAGTCAGGAATGGATCCTGTTCTATCCCCCAGGACTTGAGAGAGGAGATTAAAGAGTGCTACGACGTCTACTCTGTCAGCAGTGAAGACAGGGCTCCGTTCGGTCCTCGAAATGGAACCGCGTAAGTATGGCTCACGGCCATACCCTGGCCTCATTCATTTGTTCTCTGGCTCCTTCTGTGAGTTTTCAGTGTTTATACCAAAGCCCATGATTAAAAGGAAATTCGGTTTCTATAGTTTTTCTCTGGTTTTTACCCCTTTCACAGAGGTTTCATTTAAGATGATTGGATTCTGTTCTTACAGATCCAGTGACTTCATTTACTACGTTGTTAACTAAAAAATCTTCTGGTACAGAATTTTTTTTATTAGCTCGTAGCAGTAAGTGTTTGTGAAACAACTTTTCTGTCAGATTTAAGCCTGTCTTCTCAACTGTGTGTTTGTTATTTAAGTGTGTATTTGTAATCTGTGTATTTGAGGATTTTTGTCCCCTTTCGTAACCATACTTAAAAATCTTTTGTGTTAGGGAGGACAGTTGTTTTTAGAATGGCAATAGCATTCTAAAGTAACAAGAAGTGCTCTCAACACTCTCAAGTTGTGCCGCTAGGGGACACTATCCTTGGGGAAGTCACTTTGATTAGAATTGTCTTATGAAACTATTTCTGTCAGTTCATCTAGGTTCTTTTCCTGGGAACTGAGAATCCAGAATCCAGATTTGTTGATGTAAAATGGGAGGCAAACATCTTGTCCATGGTCCAACTCTGCAAACCCTATGTGGTGCCAGGGTGCATAAAAAACAGATTTAGTAAAAACTGAAGAGTAAAAATTAGAGTAAAAGGATTAAGTAATATCAAAGGACATCTTTTCCAGGTTAGCATAGTAATTTTGCTTTCTAATGTTCCTTTTTCTCTTTCCTGCAAAGTGTAAGTTTACCTAAAATGGTGGTTTTAATTTGCTAATAGTCTGTTTATCTGACATAAATTTATATAGTCACTGGTCCATGCCATGCACTATCTAAGAAGTGGTTTCATGCATTATTTCATCTACTCTTCACAAAACAGTACTGAAATGGGTATCATCCCAATTTTATAGATGAAAAAATGGAGGCTCTCCTAACCCCCAGCTACTAAATGGAGCAAAGCAGTAATTTACACTGACTCCAAAACCCATGTTTCTTGTACTGCATCCTGTTACTTCTTCCATTTCATTAGGTTGTTAGAGTGCCTTGTTGTTGCCCTCAGCTCGCCATCAACATCCGTACTTCCTGAGGGAAGGGGCTCTAGTCACTGCTGTATGCTCAGCACATTAAGCGGTGGCTGCTGTGTGAAGATACTCACACCCTCAGTACCTGTATGATGCGTAGATGATCATGTGATTCCCACTACAGAGTGGATGACTGGAGGAAATGTACCCTGTATGTATGATATCTCAGCTCCCTGGATCCAGCTATATTCTCAAGTTACTTCCATTTCTCCTTCTCCAACTGCAGACTTTTTGAAAAACTAGACTTCACTTGCCACCTGTACTTCCTCACCATTGGTTCACCCCTAAAACTTAAACTCTTGCCTCTGACATCGCTTGGACTGGTCATCAGTCACTGGTGACCACTAGTTAGGAGATCCACCGACAGATTCTCAGTCTTCATCCTGTTCAACGTCTAGGCAGAAAGCAGCAGTGTTGACTGCTAGTTCATTTGACTTCTGTGAATGACAGTAAACTTTGGTTTCTCTGAATCCTGTACCCCCTTCACCTGTCTCCCCTACTCTCACTGCTAGGCTGCATTTTTAGATCTCTGCCTTTCTGTCCTTTCCCTTGACATGCAGAACCTTTCCACTCCCATCTCTATTTGATGATTCATTTCTTCAGCAAATGCACTGAGTGTCAACATGCAGGCATGTTCCCCAGGAGGGGTCCCTTTCCTGGCAGTGCCCTTGGCTCTGACTGAGGTAACAAAACAGCAGAAAACAAAGCAGAAACAAACTTCTGTCTACAGAGAGCTCAGTTCTACCTATTCGTCCCACTAGCTCTTATAATTCAACGTGCCTCAAACTGAATCTATCACTTTCTTATTGGATTTGCTTCTGCTGTTGATGGTACTACCATCTTCGCTTTACTCACAAAGTGACCCCAAAGGACTCCCTTCTTCCTTGCTTCAGCTTCCAAATCAGTTGCAAAATTCTGATGACAGCCACTGTAGTGTCATCTCTCCATCCTTCTCTTTCCTTCCCACTATCATCGCTCTGGTTCAGGCCTCCTGTCCTTGGCTATTGTAAGGAATGCTGCCTGACTGTGCCAGGCTTCTCAAGGCCACACTTGGGTTCAGTGATTCACTGGAAGGCTCCGTAGGACTCAGGTAATAGTCATATTCACTGTCTGAGTTGATTGCAGTGAAAGGTTGTAAAGCAAAAGCAATGATAGAAACAGGCAAGTGGGACACAGTCTGGTAAAAAGAAGCATAACGATACCAAAGTCCTCCACTTGTGGTGTTGCACAGGAATTGCTGAATTCCTCCATTGTGAAATGTTGTCTGCCAGGGACATCTATTTGAAATTTCATCACTAAGTGCTCCTGAGTGCCGGTCACATGGGCACCCTCTGCTGGGCACAAACCAAAATCCCAGACTCTGGCAGGAAAGCTGTAAACCACCTTCAGCATAAACCACCTTTTCCTTCTAGACAGCTCAGGCACAGTGAACCACTGTTATCATTCAACAAGATTTATATCAGTTCAGAGAGCTGTTGGTCAGCCACGTTCCAGGTGTCAGTCAAGCTTACAGCAGGCCTTACTAAGATAAGGTGTCTCAAAATTAAATCTTTTCTGTTCACTCTGGCTGTTCCCCTGCCACCAGATCAGCCCTGTTCTCTGCTTTTCATCACCCGCCATGCTTGCCCTGTGGTCTGGCCACAGAATTTCAACCTTCTTTTCTTCATCATATGGGAACCAAACTAAACTTCTAGCTGGGTTACTTGTACCTCTGTAGCCTTGCCTCCCCATCTACCTGTGCAAAGCTGAATCCATTTTATAGTCCATGCCCGGGTCCAACAAGGCTTTGTCCCAAAGCCACCTATGATCCACCTTTCCCATCGCTGGACTATCAAATAAGGATCACTTTCTCTGCCTAAGCGATATTTCTCTTTGGGTACTCATAACCATCTACCTCCTCTTTTAATTAATTACAGCTGTTCTTTCCCTACTTGTTATGAATGTGTAGATAAGGATCTTGGGTCCTCTTTATACCCCCAAAAAAGCATCTGGTTCCTAAGAGAGCCTCTGTAAATATTTGTGCATTAAATGCCCATATGCTCCATGGAGTAGTCATCAATTCCATTACCAACAGGGGCACTTATTGAACTTGTTCCTCTTTTGGTTGCAGCTTTCTTTGGAGCCTATATTCATCTAGTCCCTGAGTACCATAATTAGGAAAGGCAGCCATTTAAACTGCGTGCTAACATCCTAGGCAAACAATGCTGGTGTAGGATCTATATCTTTAAAAGCTTTGAGATATAATTGACTTTACAAAGCTTCAGGGCCTTCATTCCTAAAATGGGGATGATAATTGCCTAAGAATGAAATAAAACACTTGTGAAGCACCATGTCAAGCCCATTACCCTGCTTGATAAGACTTAAACTTATTGACTGCACATTCTCTCTTACCAAGACCAACAGTCTCATCATCGCCACCTCTATGTGCCACTGACTTTACCTGCTTGTTTCCTTTTCATTGCTTTTTGAATTAGTTGGATCTACACAAGTGAAAAAGACTTGAATGGGAGTAGCCACTGGGGAATGATTGCAACCTACAGTGGAGCTGGCTATTACTTGGACTTGTCAAGAACAAGAGAGGAAGCAGCTGCTCAAGTTGCTAACCTCAAGAAAAATGTCTGGCTGGACCGAGGAACCAGGGCAACTTTTATTGACTTCTCCGTGTACAACGCCAATGTTAACCTGTTCTGCGTGATCAGGTGTGTACTGAGGGTGCTTATCCCTACCCTCCCTGTATATTTGTATGTACATCTTACAGCTGTCTGGAGATAGACACTATTTGTGAGCTCACTATTTGTGAGCATCCAGAATTAGAGCTTGAGAGCAAAGGAGGGATGAAATTTGAAGGCTTATCAAGTTAAGGATATCTGGGAGAAGAGAACTACGATTCTAGAATATTCCGTATTGGGAAGAACCTAAAGTATGATCCAAGTTCATCTGAACCTTCTCGGAAAAAGCTCATTGTTTTCTAATCTTTGTCCTTATCTAAGATGAGGATGATCAGACCTACATGTTCCATGACTGAGGCCTGTGGCCATCAAATGTTGACTCAGTTCCCTGAGTTTCCCGCTTTGGGGTGACGTAATACCCATGCTTGAGAAAATAACACAGCAGTCAGTGGCTACATTTGGGTTCAGTAGGATACCAGGTGCTTGTCCATGTTCAAGACCCTCCAAAGTCACCTAAAGTTCCTTCTACAGGTCGTGTGATGATGCTGTCATAACCACTTAAGTGACAGTGAGGAAACTGACAGAGGTTCCATGGCTTCTCAGGGGCCTCAGCAAAATTTTATTGGCTACTTAATAGATGTCAAGCACTGCTCTAAGCTCTTGGGACACATCAGTGGGAGGAATAAAAATTCCTGCTTTTGATGAATTATGGAGGAAATAGATAATAGCAATAAAGCAATAAAAAAGAAATTAATCAAATAGTATGTTAGCAGGTAATCAATGCTATAAAAAAAGAAGTGGAGCAAGGCAAGAGAAATCTGGAGTTCAGCCACTTTAATCCTCCTGGTACACGTCAGCAACACCCAAATATAGCCAGCTGGGATTACTTACACACATAATTATTCACCAATTAAAAAGGATTAATTTTCATAATATCCTTATTTTGTGATCATTTTTGAGTCTAAGTTCAACTCTCTTTTATGAGGCCAGTTGTGTTTTCTCAGTCCTTTTATTTAGCAACTTTCACAGAAAAGAACATCACATTAAGACCAGTAATTTATAACTAGAAATGAATGAAAATATGTTGCAATTATTATAGAACCTTTCCAATGATTCCAGTGATGAAAGGAACAGAAAAAAACAAGCAGGCAACTCAAATTAACTGTTTAGGAAGCATCAATTCATAGACGATGTAGGTTGTGTCTTTTACTTCCTCCCCATACTTTAGGAGTAAATGTTATTAAGGCAATTACTTCATTTCTCTGCAGCGTTGTCTAAGTTTCTGCAATGGGTGACAAATGCATGCTCAAAACAGGCCAGAGAGCAGTGACTTTGCACACAGAGGCCACTTCCTTTCCTTGTGAGCTTTCAGCAAGACTCTTAGTCACAAGATACAGTTTCAGCGTTGCTTTCCTGAGTTTTTGGTTCTCACCCCTGCTCTCCAGCACAAGTTAGGGAAAAAAATATCAGGAGAATTTACAGTGAAAAGGAAAGAGAAATTTCCTCGCTTCTTTGGCCAATTTGCCACAGTTCCTGCCCATACTTGATTGTTGCTCATGCATCAGTCCTAGATTCTCAGATTCTAGGTGTGGCTCCCCATCCTGTAATGTGAGCGATGGTTATGCTTAGTGGCTGATTAAAGTCTTTTAAAAGTCTTAAAAGTAAGGGTGTTAGAGATTCTGCATAGTAGGGAGACTACCATGAAATGAATCATCCAATTTTTTTAGAGCAACACTGAGAAAATCAATTTTGTGAGAAATTATGCTAAAGCACTAAAGATAAATGTCATCAGTATAAAATAAAAAAAAATACATTACTGTTTGAGACAATCAGACATCTATAGGATACCTATTAACTATAATTGAACACCTATAAAACTATATATAACTGGTTTCATAGGTAGTCAGAAGTACCCCCAAGGCAAACTATTTCTTGCTTGTTAGCAAACGAATGAATGAGGAACTCAGTCCCTATCTTTATACATGTACAAAATATATAGTCTGCTTCTCAACCAGATCATGCATGTTTTAAATGCCTGATATATTTCTTATATTCTCCATTGCCTAGTGACTTGTCATTTAATGGAAATTTAATATAAGCTAGTTTGTTGAATAGCTTCTGCATTAAAAATAGTTACAGCATTTTTGAGCAGAATAGATAGCAGAAAAATAAAGGGGAAAAACTGAGGAGGAAGTAAACTCTTTAATCCAGGAGGCCTCAGGAAGTCCTATTCCTTTTGTAGCACAAAATTCTGCAAGCAGTGAGTTACTAGCTATGGTAGAAAGGCTTTGCCACTAGAATGGGTGATGGGTAGTAGCAGTTTTACTACCTTGCAATGCAGGGACAGAGCAGATGGACGTCCTTCCCTGGCTGCATCGATGTGTTGTTGTTATTGTTTTAATTGTTCTCATTGCAATGCAGGTTATTGGTTGAATTCCCAGCAACAGGCGGTGTGATTCCATCTTGGCAATTTCAGCCTGTAAAGCTGATCCGATATGTCACAACTTTTGATTTCTTCCTGGCAGCCTGTGAGATTATCTTTTGTCTCTTTATCCTTTACTATGTGGTGGAAGAGATACTGGAAATCCGCATTCACAAGCTACATTATTTCAGGAGTTTCTGGAATTGTCTGGATGTTGTGATCATTGTGGTAGGTTTGAGATTGACACCAAATTCTTCTTCTCATAAAAGCATGTTAACTAGCGTCTTTGATTATAGCTTTGCAGATCTTGATACGCCTGAAGGAGCATTTAGAAGTTCTCCCTTTTTTCTACCAATCTCAATGTTACTAATTACAAACATTTTGCATGATTGACTCTTTCGAAATGGAGAGACACATATAGTAAAACCTCAACTACATTAATAACAAGAATAACTTAGTGAAGCCATGTGATATGGGGGGGGAGATAATGATAGTTTCTTCAACTGCTAGTAAAAATTAATTTATATTTTTCTGCACATATGTAAGCTTAGGGCAAGAAGAAACATACTGAAAATATTTGCAGTGGCAGAGAAAACCTCCCTGCAGTTTATCATTCCCTACAAATAGTGCACAGAATAGAAGATACAAGTTATGGCCATAAAGACTTTCTGTTTGAGGTGCCAAGAAATAATAAGGCAGAGTTATGATAGAGACAAGATCATGACACCTCATAGATCCCCTGAGGGCCCTGACTCTGTCATAACTTCTAATGCTTGTTCAAGATGCTGTCCCTGCAGCATCATCTTAATCACTTCCTTCCAGAAGCTTCCATGTAGAAATGTCATTTTACAAGCTTTTTCTCCCTCCAACGATAACACCTAATCTTTTGCTAATTCCTGTTGCACATTTCAGCCTACAACGACATACTTAGCTATTACATGCTAAAAATCCATCCATTCCGCAGCCTAAGATGGTGATACTCATAAGGGTACTCATAATGCTTTATCCTATTAGTGTTCTCTCTTCTATTATCCTACTTAGGATTTTTCTTCTTTCAAAAAAATTCATTTGAGATATGTGAAGCATTTACATCAAGTCACTGCCAAATCATCACTCAAATAGTTTGGGAAATGTAGAAAATGCTATTAAATATTTTATTACTATGTTAACAGTAATACGTTATTAAATATAGAAAATGTTGTTTGTATGTGAGTAAAAGAATATTTGAGACATAAAAAGAACTCTACCCATATATGCTGTATGGCAATTACAATAATAGTGGGAGCAATAATGAAAATGATAATCACTACCACTCCAGAAATCTCTGTTCTAGGCACTGTTCCAAGCGCTTTTCATATGCAGAACTTTCTTTAATGTTCATAATAAGCTTCGGAACCACTCTGTCACCTCCTTGCAGGCCACATACTTCAGAAAACACGTTTACTTAAAGTAAAAATTCCTTTAGAATAGAGTGTGGAACTCATCCAACCCTGATGCAGTAACAGATGCATTCTTCTTTTACGATGACCATGCAACATCATGAACACAATTCCTCTTGGGAAACTCTTGGTCCCCTAATTCTCAGTGTATCACTAATGCATACAATTACAAAAGAACTTAAGTGTTTAAGGAGGCAGGAAGGATGATGATACTAGAAATAAATTTTCAAAATACTTTTGTACTGCATAATGGCAGAGGGCAGTCCATATACTTTGAAAATTATTCCAAGAAAGCAATCATTGTTTGAAACTCAATTGAGCAAACAGCCTTTTTGGCTTATATGGATTTATTTATATTTAGGTCATTGAGAATAATGGTAAAAGTGTGAGGGTGATATTATGTTAATTAATAACAGCCTTCTTTTTTTTAACCAAATATCTTCAATGTCCACAAAAGCTAGTGAGTAGCATTCAAGCTTTTTTGATTATGTACACCTATTAGTGAAAACTGACAATGCACCTTAATGTATTTTTTTATAAATTGTGTGGGAATACTAGTATAATAGGTACATTTGTAAAAACACACATAGCAAAGAATTTGAAATAGTGAGATAAATATAAATGCAAATAGAATTTTGGTGCTTTCTTATCACCAACCTAGACATTGTAATATTTTCTCCCTGCACCCTAATGAATTGCTGTGCTGCCACTTTGGAGACCATTGGAAGAAATAGCTGATGATATCACGGAAATTGAAAATAGTTTCTTTGGCTCAGCACCCACAGAATTTTGCAAGTGTTTCCTTGAAAACTTGCTTTACTGTGCTAGTCTTGTTTTTTTTTAACTCTTAGTACTGCCAAGACAACAATTCAGACACTGTGTCTTTATAAGGAACAAGGAAGGGGTATAAGGATCAAACTTCTCCTTCGAAACCTTCACTGACTCAGCATACCCCATTGGGCCTTCTGCCCTATGAAAGAGTTGAGGTTTTTTTGTATTATTGGGTCCAAATTTGCTGAAGTCCACCTAAAACTTAAAAAGAAATGTTATCCTAAATACCAATATTTATATCTTGAAATCTTGGAATCACTTTGACTTTATTTTCTCATTGACTCTGAAGTCTACAGACTTACTTCAGTCACCTATTTGTCCTAAGCAATAATCTTCAAAAATCTTACAATTAATGAAAAGAGAAGGCTTTTAAGAATTCTAAATGCAAATAATGTTGATTAGTAGGTGTCACAGCTATAAATGACTCATTTGTTTATTCAGCAGTGTTTCTGACCATTTGCTATGTGCCTGGCACTGTTCTAGGCTTTGGGGGTTATAGGAATGAACGAAACAACCAAAATCCCTGCCCTCAAGAATCTTATGTTAAGGAGGTAATTCTTTCATAGTTAAAAATGAGAATCCTGAAAAAAACTGAGGACTGACATAACCACCCAGATTCTCACAAAATCTCTTTCCTCATCTTTTTTCTCTTATTCCCTGTTTTTTTTTTTCCTAAAAAAGTCTCAAAGAAATTTAGTTATTAATACGATATTGATGTTGTATAAATAACCATATATTTTTATAAATATTTGTCCTGGGCAGGGCAAAAAATGACTGTGCCTACTGAGAGTTGGGTAAAGCATTATTGTTGGATTCAGTTAGTCAGCCCTTCCCTCTCAACTAAAATGTAGAGAAACATTTTCAATGTATTCCAGAGAGCTCAAAGAAAAATATTTCTACCACCAGCACAAATGCATGATTAGCTCTGGAAATTTTCCTCAAAGAAGGAAGGAAGCTGGTGAAGTTGCTTTTTCCACTCTAATAGGCAGCCAAGCAAGTCTACTATGATAAAGCTCTCAAGCCGCGGTCTGGATGGTCATCTCAGGAAGGGATAATGCAGTGACTGGCCGTCCATGAGAAGAGAGAGTGGGCAGCAAAGATCACAGCCACTGCCACACCCACCTGCTTGGATTCAGCCCCTGGGAGAGGGCAAGGTGGTTATGGTTAACCACTGACATTTTTCACTCATATACCTCAGTCCATGGTAATGGCTGTGAGCAGCCCCCATATCCCCTCAGATCTGTTTTTATAGGCCAGCAACAAAGCAGATGTGAAAGTTTTTTGTCGTTAAAGTTCAGAAATAAGCAAGTGGGAAACATTTGACTCATGTTTTCACGCTGTAGTCCTTCTCATCCCCACCATCTCATTTTCTCCTGGACGCTCCTTTATAGTGTGTCTTATTTTACCTTTCCCCTTATGTTGTGCGATGCCAACTCTGTAGTAGTCTTTGTCTTATTTATCCATGTGTGTTTATCTGGTCTGAACCAGCCGTAAGTTTCTTGAAGATAGAGTTTATGTATTTTATTTCCATTTGTTCTTTTTGGCCCCTAGTACACCACTATGTACATAAACATCCACTATGCATATGTTGGATAGAGGAAAGACTTGTATAGCTAGAAACTGATTTAAAAAAATCCCACAAAAATCAGAGAGCAAGATGAGGCCAAGAAAGCAGAAGGGTGGACAGTAGTTTAAATGAAATTGGCAGGAAAAAACAGACATTTTCCCTGTTGTTTTTGATTGTGTTACATAGTGGCCTCTGGCTTGTGTTTGTGTGTATCTGCACACAGAGCTCATTGAATTTCTATCCGTAACTAAGGAAGTGCAAGCAATATATGGTTGTGCTTGCTATGTGACAGTGGTCACACTCCCCATTTATATGAGTGTCTTCTATGAATGACTTTGAATAAGTGTAATGGTGGGCCCCAACATTAAAACAGTGGTAAAAAAAATAAAATAGTCATTTTAAGGTATTGTATATTTCCAAAACTCTGTAATAACATTTCAATTATTTGTTCTCCAGCTATCAGTGATAGCTATAGGAATCAACATATACAGAACATCAAATGTGGAGGTATTACTACAGTTTCTGGAAGATCAAAATACTTTCCCCAACTTTGAGCATCTGGCATACTGGCAAATACAGTTCAACAATATAGCTGCTGTCATAGTATTTTTTGTGTGGATTAAGGTAATTTATAAATTTCATATTTTAAAATTTTACAACTATTTCCTTCTTAATATTAACATGAGACACAAAATGTAAGACAACTTGAATTTGGTTTTGAAGCCAGATTCAAATAACCAGTCAAAGCTGCGCCACCTTTTACAAGCCAAGTAAACCAGCAGGACCCTGTGACCCTGCTGCTTCTCTTGCTACCTGTGCTCTTGTAAGACCACCCCTGTTAGCTAGAAGGGATGATGCTAAGTGAAACAAGTCAGAAAGAGAAAGATAAAAGCCAGATGGTGTCACTAATATGTGGAATACAGAAACATTAAACTAAGAGTCAGATAAAGACAAATTTAAAAACAAACCCCTGAGAACTGACTCCTGAAATAAAGTACTAAGTTGAAAGGAGTGGGGGGGTTGGGGGAGAGGAGGGTAAGAACAAACAGGGAAGGAAGCACAATGGACTGTGATGATGGACTATGAGTGATTTGGTGGTGGTGCCCTATAGTGGCAATACTTGATGGGGTACCCCAGTGTTACCTCAATTAAAAATTAATTAATTAGATAAAAAGACCTGTCCCTATAAGTTTTATTTTATAAATCCAGTAAGAGGGCTTTTCAATATTTAGCTGAACCCGGGCCTGATTATTCTGACACCAGGACACATCAAAGTTTCCACTGCTATGGGGTGACCTGGTAAAGGAAAAGGAACTATGAAAATTAGTGGGAAGGTTGGCAGGGAGGAGTAGGAGAGGAGATGCTTTGGGAAATGTTCTCTAGAAGGATTTCCTCTTTACCAGGTAGAGACCATAGGGAGGTTTTACCTAGAAATGATTGGGCTGGGGACAGATGACTCTTCCAAGTACTTCCTTAATCATTCATTTCCTTCTTTTCCCAAGGCATAATTTGCATTTCTGTGTGTGAAACATTAGGGCGTTTCATAGTCAATGAACCTCAGTTCTGGAGAGCAGGAAATTTCAGTCATTGTGAGACAGCTGCATACCTGTCAGGACCTCTGGTTCTTCCTTTGTGCTATCCACACAGTAGCTAGGCCTAAGTGGCCTTGAAATTTAAATTTAAGCTAATTAAAATTACAATTAACAGTTCCTCTGTCATTCTAGCCAGTTTTAAGTGTTTATTGTCTCTATGTAGTTAGCAGCTACTGTACTGGACACTGGAAATACCAAACATATCCATCATCACAGAAAGTCTTATTGAACATCACTGTTCTAGAAAATACAGACCAATAATTGTTTTATCTTCCTGGATTGGTATTCACACCTGGAAAGCGTGAGAGTTATCAGAGCTTATGCTATCTCTCTCATACTGTTTTTTTCAATTGCATGCTTACTTAGAAGAAACCATCACTAAAACAACCAAACCTTTGTCACAAAACAATAATTATAATAAGTTCTCATAGGAATAATAAGAATTATTTTAAGTAATGTGATAACAACTGAAAAAATACTTTTGTTGTGGCCAGAAACAAATTGTAAGCCGTCTTTAAGTGAAAATCTAGAAATTTCCTTTTTCATGTATACCTCAGGCTGGGTGTTTGATTTAATGCTTTGCTTGTAAACATCTTGCCCCCAAAACTTTAAGAACCATTAAGTTCCTCAAAATGTAACAGAGTGGTCCCCAGGAAAAGGGGACCTGTTGCAAAACTAGGGATTGAGACTCAATTTCTATCTAATGCATTGCCCTAATGTTCTTCCACCAAGGCTTCTAATTAAGCTACTGAAATGGCATGCCTTCTGGGCTGCGAACTGCACAACCAGGGCAGTTGTCCTCTGTGTCTCATCTACAAATATGTTCAATATGGCTTTGTAGTCAGACAGAGCTGGGTTCAAATGCTGACTCCAAGCCCTGCCTGGCCCCTGAGTAGAACTCCACTATTTTGGTCATTTTGAAGTTTCAAGGCCATTTAACTGAACCCTCCTCACATGCTTGATAATTAATGATTATTGATGTAATTAGTATTTCCTGGAGGTTTTTTTTTTAAATTAGTGTCCATTTGTGGGGTTTTTCTCATTTTATGTTAATCTTTCTTATACTACTAGTCATTTTAATTATTATTAAACCTGTTTTCATTATATTTTAACCATCATGTGAAGTGAACGCAGCATGAAGGCAGGAGCTTTGTTCTGTTCATGCTTAGTACCAGTGATACAGGCAATAAGAGGCACTGAAACTGGCCAAGGATAGTGCTCAGATGGTTATACCAGTCACTGTCTGAGTTCTTCACCCGTGCACACAATTGCAAGGCCACTCAGGTTCAGAGAACAATAATAATGGGGTTTATTTAACAAACAAGGGGAAACAAAGAGTCACTGAGGCCATAAGTAGCCTGTTACCTCACCCAAAGCAGTGAGTATTTTGAAGTATTTTGAAGTCCTAAACAAAAGGCATCTAAGATGGCATCCTCCAGCCACTGAGGGCCTGGAACACATGGCAGCCAGAAAATAGATGGGGATCCCACACATGAAGACAGCAGTAGACGCAACAGGAGATGCTCACTAGAGCTGCCGAGATGCCCCAGCACAGCACCACCAGACAGTGACACTGAAAACAGCAGCTGTAGCAGCTGCAATAGCCGAGTGGTCAACGAGCCCACACTCACGCAGCTCAGCGAGGTGCCCAGTTCTGGGTCTTCACCTTTCCTTCCAGGCTGTAACAATACCAAAGCTGGGAACAGTTTCAGTCACTCAGCTGTCTGCAAAGCCTCTCTTTTCTCCTCTGAGGTTGGCTGCTGTAAGCCTGTCCATGTCCTTCAGAGGCCCACAATAGCCTTCTGGAAATTCAGTGAGATAGGGGCAAGAATGGCTGACTGCAATTGCTGGATCCTCGAGAACACTGAGTCCTAGGGGCTGCTTCTGCAGTCTCTTATATTTCTTATCAGAGCCTCCATCCCCACTGATTCTGCCAGTATTTCACCTGGCATTATCCTTACCTGCACCCCCCTCCAGGGGGCGCCACCCGTAGCAACCTTTGGCTTCAGCCCCCAGTTACACCCTCTCCATGATTTCTCCCCTTAGTACTGTTATTTCTTTGTGTGCGTGCAGGTAGGCACTCATTGGATTCCTGTTTCTAAGGAAGTGCAAGCAATGTATTGTCTTCCCTGTTTTATCGCCATGCTCAACACTTGCCATTTGTGTGGGTGACTTTCCTGAACACTGTTGTGTAAGTGTAATGGAGAGCCCTAGAATTAGCACAGGGTAGGCACAGGAATTGGCAAAGGCTAGGCACTCAGCAAGTACTTTTTGAATTAAGAATTAGAAGTTGCTGATTTGGGGAAAATCTTAAACAAATCATTTTCTCCTCTTATTTAAATTGTTATAAAATATATATAACATAAGGGCCTCTCTGGTGGCTCGGGCAGTTGAGTGCAGTGCTGTGAAGCTGTCTGCAGCATCTGCAGTGCCAGTTCGATCCCCGCCGGCTTCAGAGCAACCCACATGGCAAGCAACCTCTCCTGTCTCGCCCACTGCTCCCCTCAGCAGTGTATTTTGTCAGTCTGAATGTTCTGTTCCCCGCTCTGGCTCTGGTGAATCCTCTCACCCTCCCGCACATCTGGCCTGTACCCCAGCTCTTGTATAAATAAAATAAATCTTTAAAAAAAATTAAAATATATATATAAAATAAAATTTACCATTTGATATTTTAAAATATTTCCCTTTATTTTTTAATTAAATTTTTAAATTTATTTTTATTGGCGTTACTATTTGGATACCCCCATTAGGTTATTACCACCTTAGAGCATCCACCACCTAATCACCTATATTCCACCAACATAGTCCATTGTGCTTCCTTCCCTCTTGTTCTTACCCCTCCTCCAACTCCCCCGTTGGTGCTTCAGTTCTGTAGTTCATCTTCAAGGGCTAGTTTTTGAGCTTGTCTTTATCTCTTAGTTTAGATACTTTATATTCCACATATTAGTGACATCAGTATCCATCTTTCTCCTTCTGACTTGTTCCACTTAGCATTATCTCTAAGTACAATTTAGTGACATTAAGTACATTTACAGGTTGTGCAACCATCATCTCTATGCATTTCCAGAACTTTTCCATCATCTCAACTGAAACTGTATCCAGTAACCACTAACTCCCAATTTCTCTGTCACCTTAGTCCTTGATTACCTCTGTCTTTCTTTCTGTTTATATGAATTTCCCTATTCTAGGATCCTCAAGAGGCAGAATTACACAATAGTTATCTTTTTTTTTTTGTCTTAGCATGTTTTCAAGGATCTTCTGTATAGTAGAATGTATCAAAATATCATTCTTTCCAAGGCTATATCATATCCCATATTTCACAGTATGTCTAAGCCATATTTTGTTTACTCAGATATCTGTTGATTTCTCCCCTCTCTCTATAGCTTTTCAAGTTCATCAACTTTAACAGGACCATGAGTCAGCTCTCCACAACCATGTCTCGGTGTGCCAAAGACCTCTTTGGCTTTGCTATTATGTTCTTCATTATTTTCCTAGCATATGCTCAGCTGGCATACCTTGTCTTTGGGACTCAGATTGATGACTTCAGTACCTTCCAAGAGTGTATGTAAGTATAGATGAAATTAAGAAGGAAAATTTTATCAGGGAGGTCACTGCCTTCTCAAGAATAAAGAAATGGTTTATTTTTAATGACCAAGTGTTTAAAAATAGTTATTTAAAATGAAAATTCACTCACTTTCCCAAAAGCATTGATCCACCAATGAAAAGATGGAAATATGCTGCTTAAGCCAGCTCTAAAGTAGGAGAACTGTAGTAAACCAACACTGTTTCAAAAACCGAGGTCTTGGCTCCAAATGCAGATGTTAGATTTTAAGTGACCATTGGACTGTTTTTTTTTTAATCTGATTAAATATCATTGTCATGTATTATAAACTTCAAGTTATTTTCTAAGAGGAAAAAAAACTCTCTAAAATAGCACCAAAAACTCAAACCAGGACAGAAATATTCAGTCTTTTTCCAAAGTTCTCAAACATGATATTAAAAACAAACAGTAAGTAAATGGTGTTAGATTTCCAAGCCATTTAGAAATTAGTTTGGTGGGAAAGAAGATCAGGATAATGGTGATCCCTAATTAATGTTGCTGAGTGATAAAAGTCAGGAATGGAAATGATTTTTCTGATTAAGCTTCACCTTTGACAACATACATGCACCACTTGGAGGATACTGGGTCTTTGACAATCAAAATTTGGCTGTCCTGCAGAAATTATTTTTACCAGATTTTTAAATTCACATCCAGGGTGATCATTGTGAAGGTTTAGATTTACCATCTTTTAATCAGATTATCTATTACATTCTTATAGCTGATTTCATTATGTCATCTAATAATAATTATTGCATTTTATATAGTATAAATCAAATTTTATATTTTAATCAAATGAAAATAACATTTAGCATGAAAGCATATTATTTTTTATTCAGAAAGCTCCAACCACTTATAGAAGTAGCAAGAGTTTTCCATAGGGACTGACAATTTCCAATTATTTGGCACCTCTCGATATTGATGAAAAGGTTTGAAAGTGTGAAATCTTGTTTAGGAAATGTTTTATCAATGACAGACATTTTTTGGTTTTGTATTGTGGTGTTGTGTTTTGTTTTGTTTTGTTTTTATAGCTTCACTCAATTCCGTATCATTTTGGGTGATATCAACTTCGCAGAGATTGAGGAAGCTAATCGAGTTTTGGGACCAATTTATTTCACTACATTTGTGTTCTTTATGTTCTTCATCCTTTTGGTATGTACACTTTTGTTTATAGTGAAGGTGACTTGAATGTCAGTGATCACCATCTGTTCTTTTCTCTCCCACTGTACTCCCTATCATTTTTTTAAGGACCAAGGAAGTAGGGAAAATGTAGACATTAGAAAACATATTTTCTTTTACTTTTCATCTATTCACAGTGTTAAGCTTTTACCATTATCTTTTCCATTGTGTACCATTTATCCATATTTATGTGTCTGTTTATATAAAAACATAGATCAAGTGTAAATGTATAAAGTCAGCTAAAAGAGTACTCTACCTAAAGAATAAAATATGCTTACACATTTTTTTAAGAAAAATGTCAGCACTCTTGTGATCACTTGCTAGCATGACTTTACATTTCTCTCTTCCTTTTAAAATATAGGAAGTGACAAAGCAAACCAGGTCCAGGATAACAAGAGTAATATTTGAGTTAATTATGGCTTCTTAGGATTTAGAAACTATATTTTAACTTATTCATATTTAACATACCTAGAAACTACCTACAAAGAACACTCAAAGTTTTATCATAAAATTAAATCTAACAATGAATGGAAATTTCTTTGGAAATTATTTTCAAAAATATTTTTTTAAATTCTCTTGATTTGGTACAAATTATCATTTTTAACATTTGGCATGCAATTAAGAATCTTTTAAGGCATTTTGTTCTTCACCTTAACATTAATACACTTATTTTCCACTGAGAAGCTGTTAAATTAGTTTAACCTAGGCAGTGTTTTTTTTTTTAATTTATTTATTTATGTATACAAGAACTGGGGTACAGGCCAGTGGTGTGGGGGAGGAGGGTGAGAGGATTCATCAGAGACAGAGTGGGGAGCAGAACAGGCAGACCTACTGAAATACACTGCTGAGGGGAGCAGTGGGCAAGGCAGGAGAGGTCTGAGGTCTGTGCCATGTAGGTAGCTCCCTGGCCCTGGATTGAACTCATGCTTAAGTGGCTGGGAATAGCTTCATAGTTCTGCAACTTAATCTCCAGCGCCACTAGGGAGGCCCAATGCAGAGGGTATTTTACATCTATACTTAAGATCTTAACTTTAAACACCCTTTTGACTAGCATTAAAGACATTCCTTATATCAGCCATCATCTTAAGAAAGCGACAAAATGGTTTCCATTTTCAATAAGTTTCATAAAGATCCTTTGCTAAGGTTTAGTAAATCAGTGTAATTATCTCTCAAGTTGGTCCAGGTATGTGGTGGTTAAGCCTATGGCATTGAGTACCCGATGTACTTTAATAGCATTGAAAGAGTCAGGCGTACCATGAAATATGTTTGTATCTTGCTGAACGAATATGTTATGATTAATTTTAAACTTAAATCTCTGAAGTTTATTCATCCTGTCATGTATTAAAGGGGAAAAAATAAACAACAGAGAGAAGAGTAAGCCTTGTTCCTCTCTGACATGAGCAGTGTTTTGGATTCTGAAGCAGCTGTATCCCTATTCAAAATACAAAAACCAGGACTTGAGAGTTCTGTAGTGGGCCCCTCAGTGGACTTCGGACCACCTAAATTTTCTTAGCATGTCAGTCTGTCAAATAGGGGTGTAACTGTATCAATCCAAAATGCCCTGGTGTGGCCTTGCCCTGGTGTTCTGTAGCTGGCAGCACCTACTAAGTTATTCAGTCATCGACTCACTCACTAGATCATAATGAGATCTTCATTTTTATCTTTACAATGAAGTAATTTTTGTATTACTGTACAAAAAAAGAATTATTCTTCCCACATCCCTAAGAAAAAAAGGGGAGACTACTGGCAATACCAACCTTCTTTTTACAAAATGACAGCAAGGTACAGGGTTGGCCACTCTGGCTTTGATGACTGCCAGGTGCTGATTCATAGAAATAAATTTAATGAAAGTATGAAATTTGACCAATTGAGTATTGAAATTTGAAGAGGTGTTTAGTGTTCTATACCCGTAAGTGATTTATGTCAAATGAAAAAAAAGTAGAGAATATAGGTAAGTAAAAATAATAAAATAATCCCACTAGTCACAGATTTGTTGTATTTCATTCTTATCTCTTTTTGCAAATATATGACAATGTATGATTTTATTAGCAAATCTATGTATTGCATTTTCCTTTGCTGTGACTTAATGGAAAAAATAATTTTCCCAAAGAATATGTTATGTTAGACTTCTTAAACACGCAGATTGCAAACAAAAAAAATTAAGCTAAAAGTCATGTGTTAAATATTGATTGATGTTTATAAATTATATTTAGATTTCTTCCTCAACCTCTGTCTTTCTTTGATTTATAACAGAATATGTTTTTGGCCATCATCAATGACACTTACTCTGAAGTTAAATCTGATCTGGCCCAGCAGAAAGCTGAAATGGAACTCTCAGATCTTATCAGAAAGGTATGACAAGTTCTAGTTCTCAGATTTATTTCATTTTTTTACATAAAATTAACCTTTTTTTAGCCATATTCCCAAATCAACATTGATACCTTGACAATGATTAAAATAAATAGTAGGTTGCTATATTTCAGGAATAATTTGAATGTTCTCTATCTTGGAGCTAAAGATAAATATACTGCTCTCTTGAATTTAAATACTGGGACTACTTTAATACACCAGAATTCTCAATAATCTCTAAACTCTTAATATTTGAGCTGCTGGTCTGCTTCCTTTTTTTCATTTTGACATCTCCTCTGCTTGGCTTTCACTTCCTACTCCAGACTTCAGAATAAATTAAAAGGGAATATTGTGAGTTCATTTCTACTTCTATCTTAATTACTATTTTGAAAAAGAAAAGACTGTGTTATAAACAATATAAACATTACTTCAATAATAAAACAATAATTTTAAAAGAGCAAAAACTGTAGAGGCAAATATTTTGTAGTTCATACTTTACTGACCCTTGACCTTCCATGGAAGTTTTAAAATAGCCAGAGGAAAAGGTACCTGGATTAAGACCAGTCTAAGGGCCTGAGAACTTTCACTTTGTACCTTCTCAGGAAATGTTTCATTGTTCAATGGAAGGGCAGGACAGGAAAGTTGGGCAGCTTTGTTCTCAATGTGACTTCTTTATTTGGTTTGAAGCAACAAATAATTACATCTAAAGGGCACAATTTGTTTGTTCCGTAACATCACTTAGCTAAGCGTCAGTGACTCCTTGTCTGTACTATGTTGTCTGTGAATCATATTGTAACAGAGAACAAAGTCTCTTGGATGAAGACCTAAGATTTGTGCTATCCTGAATTTTATACAGTTGACTATGTATTAGGAAATCTCTTGTGCATAGACAAGCAGTCCTCTTCCACAAATTGGAGTTAACATCAGCTTCTCAACACAGTTCAAATTTCTGTTAACATGTGTATGTTAACTGAGTATTAATTGTGAACGTACAGGGCAAACTTAACTACTGGCCTGAAGTCTATAAAGCACTATATAAATAGTGGATGTACATTATAACCAGTAACTAATACTGTCAAAATCTAATGTGATTGGTTACTGAGCATCTTCTATTCAGTTCATGCACAAAGCTTTAGCATTGCCTTGTTGTTTCCCAGTGATAAACCCATGTAACATTTTACAAAAATGCACAATTGAAAGAATAGCCCAAAGATGAATAGGTCAAAGATGAAAATACATCAAAGAAATAAAGAATGTCATGCTGGAAGTGATATTGAAAGCGGTGGAATGGCGTTATAGAAGAAACAGCAAGTTCAAGGCTGTTGATCCTGCTGCCGCTATAGCTCTGGAGATGCAGCTAGAACGTAGTGAAGGCAAATTTATCAACATAAATGAGCAAGTGATTGTGATGAAAAGGATGCCAATCTCAGAGAATCTGATGCCAACCAAAAACTTCCCACTAAAGGAAATCTTGTAGATATTTCATAATATTGAACGTGCAAAGAATAAAATATTGAAAGCTAATCCATATTAGGAAAGAACTATGATAATTCATAAAGAGATAGAAAAATTGCTCATTGTCTGTCATATCTTACTCAACAAGAAGGCATCAAGCTTCTATGGATAAAGTTTTTGACAGAGAAATAGAACACCTTAATTTGCAATGTTTCTAATGTGTTAAATATCAGTGTACTAAATATATGCTGGAATATTTTTTATTTCCCTATATAGTTGTATTGAATATTAAGGAAGCTTTCAGTGATTTGACAGAAAGTTTTGAAGTTTGAAGTACTAAATATATGCTGGAATATTTTTTATTTCCCTATATAGTTGTATTGAATATTAAGGAAGCTTTCAGTGATTTGACAGAAAGTTTTGAAGTTCGCTAGCAATCATAATTTTCCCCACTGATCAATAGCATCACTTTGCACAGTGTGAACTTGCATCACCATATTTACAGCCCATGTAAAACAACTGCCTATAGTTTATTAGCAAAAAAATCTTCATCTGCATTTCATTGGAATTTTTAACATACTTAGCATGTGTAAGGAAATTACTGAGGGCCTCCCCGGTGGCGCAGCAGTTGAGCGCTGGGTTGAGCGCTGGGTTGCGAAGCTGCCCGCAGCCTCTGCAGTGCCAGTTCGATCCCCAGCTGCTCCCCGGCCACCGGAGGAGGGTCCCACATGGTGCACAGACCTCTCCTGCTGCCCGCTGCTCCCCTCAGCAGTGTACTTCAGTCCTTCTGCCTGCTCTGCTCCCCGCTCTGGCTCTGGTGAATTCTCTCACCCTCTCGCGCTTCTGACTGTACCCAGTGCTTGTGTAAATAAATAAATAAATAAATAAATCTTAAAAAAAAAAAAAGGAAATTACCGAGCATGAGCTAATACAGAAAATAAAAATTAATGAATAAATTTATAACATTAATAAAAATTAATCCATAATGCAGGTTTCTCAATATTCAGAAGAACTGTTCCACATTCAGGTGGCAGAGAGCTATGGAATGTAATAATACCATTTTTATAACCTGAACTTAAACACGTATATGAGCAAAGGGCCCTTAGTCCTTGATTTATTAAAGGGCTGACACTTTCCATATATATAATATATCCAAGAGGATATATTATTCATTCACTCAAATCATATTTGAGTGATCAACTTATGTCAGACACTGTTCTGGTCACAGGGTTTACATTAGTTGTTTCGATAAATGGAACATAAAGCAGATGTGAAAGGAGAATTCATTAAACCTAGTCTTTTCTTTTTGACAGGCCTACCATAAAGCCTTGGTCAAACTAAAACTGAAAAAAAATACGGTGGATGATATTTCAGAGAGTCTGCGGCAAGGGGGAGGCAAATTAAATTTTGACGAACTTCGACAAGATCTCAAAGGGTAAGAATTGTACTTCCTGAGCCCTGGAAAAGTCCTCATGTAAAGATAAATTCATGGTGACAGGGTATTTCTGGTCCAAGTACTCAGGGACACATTTTTTTCAGAGGTGGACTCTTTGGGGGCCGTATTGTAACAAGAGCACTGGTCCTGGTGCAATAGTTCCTCCTCTCAGCATTTTGATGACTTTGTGTTTGGGCATGAATGAGTTCATCTATAACCTCTCAATAATTTCAGGAAGGGCCACACTGATGCAGAGATCGAGGCAATATTCACAAAGTATGATCAGGATGGAGACCAAGAACTGACTGAACATGAACATCAGCAGATGAGAGACGACTTGGAAAAAGAGAGGGTGGGTGCAGTTTTGAAGAACATGATTAAATTTGATTTAGCATTTAGCACTGTAGGTGAAAACACCTACAGTGTTTCAGACACCATACTAACTAGTGGGTTATTGATGTTTGCACTAGCTCACACTCTTTCGTTCTCTGTGTGTGTGTGTGTGTGTGTTTATTTGTGTATTTTTCTGAAAGGATATATATTGCACAGCGATGTATAAAGATGTACTATAATTTACCTTAAATGTAAAAATATCAAAATGAAGAACAAAGTGAAACAAAACTTAAACTATGAATGAAACTAAAATATGTATTCCGTAAAGCGATATGTGCTTATTAAGACTGGGCTACAGATTTGGCTTTAAGCTTTCTGGTAATCGATGTAAGAGAAATCTGAGTAGTTGCATAATATACAGTGTCCATAAGAATGGGAAAAAATTTCTCAGAAGATTAAAAGTTAATTGATCTTCAACATTTATTATACAATAAAATTAAGAATTGCCTTCCATTTGAAAACTTATGAAGCGATTAAGAGTAAACTTTCAGGGCCTCCGTGGTGGCGCACAAGGGTTAAGTCTCAGCACTATCAAGCCATCAGCAGCCACTAAGTTCCATCCCCCTCTGGCCAGGGAGCTACCCACGTGGTGCAGTAGTGTAGCCAACCTCTTCTGTCTCTCCCACTGCTCCCCTGAGCAGTGTATTTCAATCTATCTGTTCTGTTCCCCACTCTGTCTCAATACACACACCTCTAGCCTGTACCCCAGTTCTTGTATGCATAAATAAATAAATCCTTAACAAAAAAAAGGTACACTTTTATGGGTTTTTATAATCAGAAATAATTAAAAGCTTTAATATAAATTTAAAACATAAATGGTTAAACAAACAAATTCATTATCATTGAGATACAGAAAATACTGGTAAGTATTACACACAATAATCATTTCCCTACTGGAAAATGAGAGAACCCCAGTTGCTCCTAAGCTCTCCCCACAGAACATGGCAGTAAATGAAACACTTCACTGGTGATAGTAAAATGCAAAAAGAAGACAATGAGCAAAATTATTATCAGATTATGGTTAGTTAAAATTCTTTACTATTAAATCCTTCCTACTTTGGAACTATTAAATGTGTGATCCTATGAAAATGTGATAATATATATTTCTTCATTTACTTTTTTTTTTTTGCTTTGTTGTGTTTTTAATATTCTTTTTCATGGAAACAAAAAGTTAACAACTCATTAAAATCTGTATTGAAAATTTGCTAAGCTGTGATATGGAAAAGCATGGGAATCACAGTTTGATATTAACCACAAAAATGTCCTAGTAAAGAGCACACATCTTTTTCCTTTTTTGCTCAAGCCTGTGGGATCTGGGTGTTCCTGTCTCCCACTTATTGACCCTATGTTCTTCAGGATGACCTGGACTTCGATCACAGCTCTTTACCACGTCCCATGAGCAGCCGAAGTTTCCCGCGAAGTCTGGATGACTCTGAGGAGGATGACGATGAAGACAGTGGTCATAGCTCCAGAAGGAGGGGCAGCATCTCCAGCGGGGTTTCTTACGAAGAGTTTCAAGTGTGAGTATAAATGAGCTGGCAGGATCAGGATCTGGGTTGACAAGAGTCCTTAGGAGACCAAGCAATTTCTCCTAGCTCTTCCAACTCAATCCTTTCAGTTCATTAGTAGCAAAATATAGTTTTTTTAAAATAACTTTTATCGCTTCTCGGCCTTTTGGCTAAGATCAAGTGTAAAATAACTTTTCTTGCTCTTTTCTCTTTATAAAATAATGTGTTCATTATAGAAAAAAATGGCAAATAAAGACAAGTAAAAGGAAACATGAAAATCTCATATTCACACCAACCAAAAATGCCAATGAACATTTTGGTGTTTCTGTCTCCATTTGCATGTGTTTATTTTTTCTTTGTTTTTGTGGCCTAGTACTTACATGGTATATCCTGAAGAATGTTTTACATGCACTTGGAAAGAGAGTATGTTTTGCTGTTGAGTGGTCTGTAGATGTTTGTTATGTCTGGTTGGTTTATTGTGCTATTCAATTCTCCTGTTTATTTTCCTGCCTAGTTCTATCTACTGTTTGAAAAGTGGGGTATTCAAGTCCCCACTATTTTAATTAAATTATCAATGTATCCTTTCTTTTCTGTCTGGGATCTCTTGCTTTCACCCTGGAGAACTTCCTTAGTATTTCATCTAAGCAGGTCTGCTTGCGATGATTTTTCTCAGTTTCTATTTATCTGGGACTCTATTTCACCTTCATTTCTTTCTCATCTCCATGCTTCCTGGTAAAAGGACAGCTTAACCTTGCTGAGGTATGTGATGAGTCATTTTTACCTTGCTACTTCCAAGATTTGTCTTTTTCATTACCTTTCAATATTTTCACTCTAATGTGTCTCAGTATAGACCTCTTTGAATTTTTCCTGCCTGGTTTCATTAAGTATCTTGAATGTGCACTGTTTTCATCAAGTCTGGGAAGTTTCCGCCATTATTTCTATTAGAAGAATTTTTTATCTCCCGTCTCTTCTCTCCTGGGACTTCCATTATGCATATGTTGGGATCCTTCATAGAATAGTACCTGACATTCTCTAATTTTCTGTTCATTTTTCTTTATTCTTTTTTTTCTCCATTCAAATTGTATAGACTGTGTGTGCTTTTGTGCTTTTCTTCTGCCAGTTCAATGGTGCAATGAATTTTTCATTTCATTTATTGTAATTTTTATCTCCAAATCTGTTTTTGCTTCCTTTTAGCAGTCTCACTCTCCTTATTGATATTACCTATTTGATAAATGTCATCATACCATTATTTTTTTGAAGCATGAGTTCTTATAGTTTTCTGAATATATTTATAATGACTACTTTGTTTATTTTTATTTTTTTATAATATTATTTTTTTACATAACTGTTCATGTTTAAACAATATTTGCTTCCCCCCACCCCCTCAGGAGTAGTCCCCATAGAGTTTCCTTCACCAGTGCACCCGTGCACCATCACCTCAGTCCCCTGTGCTTCTCCCTCCCTCCCTCTGATCCCTCTCCCTCCTCCTCCCCTGCAGGATGTCTCTGATTTATAATTGTCCATTTTTGCTTTGTTGTGTTTTGTACTGTTAGTATTTTTTCACACTGATGTCTTATGTGGTCCCCCTATATTCCAATAAACCAACGAGTAGTTGATCTCCTGCAACAACTAGCCTCCTCTTAAGTGCTCGTCATCACAAAATCACAATCTCCATAGTTTTCAAGAGCACTCTTGTGCTTGCATTTCCCCACACTTTGTTCCAAATAAAGCCAGATGAAAGCTTTGGCACTCTCTGTCCACCCACCTGCTTCTTCCTGGAGGCAAAATCTCTGTTCCATTGCTCTAGATCTAGGGGCAGGGACAAATGGCTCTGGCCTCTCAAAATGACACACTCCTGATTCTTGAGCAAGCTTGGGCTGGCAGCCTGCTCTTTCAGCTCTGCTGAAATGACAGCTCCACCCTACAATTGGAATAGAGAAAGTGAGCCTCATACCTCTTAGCCATTGTTGCCTGGATTTGAACCTCTACAATGTGGTTGAGAGTGGAGGCATAGGAAAGGGAAATGCTGGCACCCTGCCTTTCCTTGACAGGGAGCTGAGGGCAGAGGAAGCCCTGTGTTCTTTGCTACACACATACACACACACACTCTCTCTCCACAGTGTCATTTACATCACATCAAGCTGGAATACAGGCAAGGGGGAACCAATTAGGCCTCAAATGTCATAGATTCTTACTACTCTGACTGAAATTCAGTCACTTATTTTAAATAAATACATGTATGTACTTAATGCCCTTAAGAAAACTTTTAAAAATAATATTTTTAAATAATTTTCAATTGTTATAGTTGTTTCACTGGGAATAATACCTACAGAGACCTTCCTTGAGCCATCATTCTAGAGGTTGTCTCCAATTTATAGTTTTTTAAATGTTTGCATAGCATTCTGTTTATTCAAAATAATAAAAACATAACCATTAGTATACTATTATCTGATTGCTTTGTCAATATTTATGAGCATAGTTTTATTTCACTATTTTGTTGCAAAGTAATATTGGCATCTCCTTAGAATTCCATTGTATAAATAAATAAAAAATATTTAAATAATCTCACTAATTTTATTGTAAACATTTTTCAGTGACCCCCTAATAGTATGCAGAGCTCTAATTAATACCTTTGTAGCCAGAAATTACACATATACTTGTTTCCTTTAGAAAATTTTCCAATAAAATGAAATATTTAAATAAAAGGATAGGCATATGTTTTGTTTTTTTTTTTTTAATTTTCTAGAGGCATGTCTTATTTATCTATTTGTTTGTTTGTTTGGTTTATACATGCACTGGGTACAGTCAGAAGCCGGGAGGGCGAGAGAATTCACCAGAGCCAGAGCGGGGAGCAGAGCAGGCAGAAGGACCGAAGTACACTGCTGAGGGGAGCAGCGGGCGGCAGGAGAGGTCTGCGCGCCATGTGGGACCCTCCTCCGGTGGCCGGGGAGCAGCCGGGGATCGAACCGGTGCCGCAGAGGCCGCGGGCAGCTTCGCAACCCAGCGCTCAACCGCTGCGCCACCTGGGAGGCCCAGATAGGCATATGTTTTTAAGATGTCTTTCTGATATGATGTTGACTTGCAAAAAAAGTTGTACCACTGAGCACTCCCACAGCAGCGTATCAGAGTTTGCCTGTAAAGTCTGAGGCTATTTAGAAAGGGTTTTCTCCCCCGTCTTCCCCCATCTTCCATTTACTGAAAGAACGCTATGCTAAAAGTCAATTTCAATTGTAATATTGAGACTTTTTTTTAATATGCCATTGTTTTATAATAATACAGAGTCTCAGGAGTCCAGCTACACACCTCCATAAATGTATGTATCACCACAACCGCTACCAAAGTTCTAATACCTGTCATCACTATCCAACTGATCCCTTCCACCTGTTCATCCTCCCTCTCCCACTCACCGTATTCTTTCCCCCTGATACCCACCACTTTTTTGTCAGATCATCACATTGTTGAAGAAAAATTACATAGTCCTGTGAAAAGCCAGATGAGCTGAAAGGAGAACACAAGATGACTTTGCCCCTCTTAATTGTGGTTTCCACAGTCTGGTGAGAAGAGTGGACCGGATGGAGCACTCCATCGGCAGCATTGTGTCCAAGATCGATGCGGTGATCGTGAAGCTGGAGATTATGGAGCGAGCCAAACTGAAGAGGCGAGAGGTGCTGGGAAGGTTGTTGGATGGAGTGGCCGAGGTAAGTGGTCATGGGAAACAGAAATGCTCTGATTCTATAAAACACTGGGGAAGTCATATTTGTAACCCATAATCAGAGAAATTTCTATTTCTCCATAACTGCAAATCATTGCAGATCCCGATGATAATCTGGAGGTTCCACTTTCTTAGTATTCCACACACCCGTGGTCCTGGCTTCATTGGACTATACAATTAGGCAAAAAATTTACTCAGTGACTGAGAATTGCTATTATATGCTGCAAATCTCCAACTTTCCCTAATAACAGATTCTTTGGCTCCCAGATTTCCTAAGGCAGTTTTGAAGTACAAGAGTATGCATCACCCTGCCCCCAACATCCTGGTTTCTTTTTTCTTTATTAGGACGAAAGACTAGGTCGTGACAGTGAAATCCACAGGGAGCAAATGGAGCGCTTAGTGCGGGAAGAGTTGGAACGCTGGGAATCCGATGATGCAGCTTCCCAAATAAATCATGGTTTAGGCACACCAGTGGGACCAACTGGTCAACCTCGCCCCAGAAGCTCCCGCCCTTCTTCCTCTCAGTCTACAGAGGGACTAGAAGGTGGAAGTGGAAATGGTAGTTCCAATATCCATGTTTAGGATGTGTATTTGTATATGAGTTCCTAATAGCAAGAAGACGGCTGTCCTGAGTTGCCATAACAAGTACACTATTTTTGTGCCCTGACTACCATACGATGCTGGTCTTTGTGACCAGTTATTAATTCTTCTGCACTTTAATTTATTTTAGGGAAATTTTGTCCATGGATCAAAGGAGATTTTTTTTCTTATTCTCATATAGGAAATGTAGGTGTAAATATTGAGGAAAAATATCATTGTATAATTATATTAAGTGGTATGCCCACTTGCTACCATGCCTGAGCCCTCTCAGTTGACAATGAAGTAGCCTTTTTAAGCTAGAAGAGAACTATCAAAAGGCTTCTGAGTTTTATTTCCAATTACATAAATCAGTATTGTCATTTTGGCCCACCATGTGAAAGGAAAGTAGGGGCCTTCCTTTTCACTCAGGCTTAGCTCATGGGTGTAATACACAGCTTTCTTTTAAGAAAGGAAACTTATTTCAACTACCTTCCTGGGGTAAACTTTTCTAAAATATGAGCTGGAAAAGAACTCCAATCATAGAATGTGTATGTAGTCATTATGCTAGAATTTGTATGACTGATTAAGATATTGAATATTATGCTTTTTTGTTATTTTACCATAACTAATGTCTTTGGGACTGACCATAATTTTTACACTTATTTTCATTCTCATATGCTGCATGAAACCACCAAAGATCCATTATGGGCAAAAATCTCATTTCTAACCATATCTTACGAGAATTAAAAGAAGTTCAATCACCACATTTGACTTTCTCTAAAAATTGGTTTAGAATGAAAATGCATCATTTGATTGAATTTATTTGAAACTGATTTAAAGTTTTAATCTAGGAAGAGCAATTTACTCAAATTTTTTAGTATATACAGAAAATTTTAACTCAGTGAATATGATCATTTTAAATAAAATTTCAATTTTGAAATTCATATAAAAATATTGTAAAACTTAAGTTTGAATTTTATACTTTTTTTAAAAAATATGTAACTCAAAAACTCTTGACCGGTGCTTCAAAACTAGAATTTGTAATCTAAGTGGAGTTCAATTTCATGAAAAGGAGGTTTTGATATTGAAAGGCCACCCATTATATAAAGTTATCTGCCAGTTTGAATTTGCAGCTTTTTTCCCCCACTATAGAGGGTCTTACAAAATTTATGGGAAGAAATCTATTTCTCAATAAAAAGCAAAAATCATATTTTTCAGAAGTTTGAGTAAGATGACTTTCTAAGAGCTAATGGGATAAGCCAGATGCTGGACTCTTACTTGGAAAAGATAGAAGTGAGGCCTGTTTTTAAATGTTATGTTTCATACTCACATAGTATTCATTTAATTGGTAGAGTATGTCAGTCAAATGTTCAGTGGAAACATGAGCAGACAAACCCACTTCTATGGAAGTGCTACACATTGAATCTCTTTAATATTTCCCACAGCTTCATCTCCATTTTTACTTTTTGTGAATATGCTACACAAAGTTCTTTATTACTAGGTACTAAAGTTTGCATTCCAGGGATATTGAGTGTATGTATTTATGTATGTGTACCATTGTGTTACATGTAAACAAACTTCAATTTGAAGTGCAGCCTTTATGTGGTATCCATGTATATTGACTGTGTGCCATATATTAATATTGGCCACTATAAAGTCTTTTTATAATACTTATACTGTTTTTTCATGTCCCCTATAAAATTTTGCTAAATTCTTTCTTTTTACCTATAAATTACATATTTCTTTCCTCTGTAGTCATATAGAATTCCCTACTCATCCCTTCCCTTTCATCTCCCCTCTATAATGATATTATTAAAAAGATGTTACATATGCAATCTTTCTCAACAATTGAGATTCATTAATATGTAATATTGAGCACTTTACTTATTAATAAAGACTTGATATCATAGCAGGTGTAAGAATTGTTTGTTCTCTAAGCGTTGTCTAAGTAGAAGCAGTTGGGTCATTTGCCTAGTGAGACTACTAGTGAAACTTTAGACTTTGGAAAAGTCATCTACTCTCTATATGTCCAAAAGTATCATGACCGACATATTATTCTTCTGTGTTTACTACATTACATGCACATTTCAGGTTACTAATTAACCTTTAAACACAGAGCTATCATGCAAGGTGGTTTAGTCTCTTTCAGAAATAGATCCTGAAACAAGGATTTTCTGGCAGGTGGTTTACTTGGGTAGCATAGACAACATGGATAGTGGAATGGGGAAAGCAGGGAAGGGTAGACAGTTAATAAAGGATATATCATCGGATTTGCTAACAGTGGAGAATGTCAAAGTTTAATTCCTGTAGTGAAACTGTGATTAACAGTATAGAACACACAACTCAGGAAGTAAGACTTGAGTTGGAAGGCATCTTTGGGAGAATGGTAGTAATTCCCTAGCATTTCCAGTAGACAGAACAACCCTTCCTGGCTTCTGAGCAACCCCAGAGAGAGAACTACGCACTGGTAGTTAGAAGTCAGTAGACACACAAAGGTCATGGGCAAGGCACACACAGTGCCCACTTCATGTTATCATGCATGAACCAACTATGATTTCCAGTCCCTGAGCATTCCATACAAATGGCATCCGACGGAGTTGTTCTACTCAGTGACTCACCCATCAAACAGGGAGAGGTTTAAAGTAGAGGGAAAATACCAATGAGCTAAGATTTTTTTTTCCTCTCTCTCTACTTATGGGGCATGTCACCATGACAAGACATCTGGTTTTGCTGAAAACTTCAGTTCCTCATTTGGAATTTGGAATTAATATTGTGTCTCCCTCGCAGTATTTTTTTGAAAAATAAGATCTGTGTGAAAGTAAGGTAAAACTAAAATTTCCATTACAAATAGAAAAATGTAATATAAATAGCTAGTTCAGAAACTTGCTCAACAAAACTGATCTGTTGAATCAACGAAAAGGAAAGGAATTCCTGCTGATGTCAATTTTGAAAGGTAAGTAAAGGAGATTGATGTTGCCAAATGTTCATTTGAAATCACCTAAAAGTCTTTTCTATAAACTAGTGTATGTGTGTATGTTGTGATGGGAGCTATATTATGTGTAGTTTTGTGTACTGCTCTTTCATATTCTATCACAAACATGACATGTGTCCTGATTTTTTTAATAACTACAGAGTGGTGCATTCTATGAATTAACCAAACTTATTCACCCCTCCCCTGATATTGGACATTTGATTGCTTCAGGTTTTCATTAAAACTGATAATACTATGACTCACATACTTAGGCATAAATATTTTTCACATTTCAGATTATTTTCTTACAGAATTCTTTATAAAAAAACTTCCCAGAAATGTAATTGTCAAACAATTCCTTAGAAAATTGGCACCAATTTATACAAGAGCCAAAATTATGAATGTCGATTTGCTGAACTGTCCACGTAAGAAATTCTTTTTTTAAGCAAAATTGTTTTAATTGAATTTAAAAAGAAGAAAAGCACAAAAATGAACAAATACTGAACTGCAAATGTCTCCCCCAAAGACAGGATTTTTTAGTGATTTTTTCTAGTGCTTAAAAAGAAATACATTCAAAGCCTTAGAAAATGTTTTTTGTTTTTTTTTTAAGATTTTTATTTATTTATTTACACAAGAACCAGGGTACAGGCCAGATTTGCGGGAGGGTGAGAGGATTCACCAGAGACAGAGCGGGGATCAGAACAGGCAGACTGACTGAAACACACTGCTGAGGGGAGCAGCGGGCATGACAGGAGAGGTCTGCTGCGCCATGTGGGATCCTTGCCAGCTGGCCAGGATCGAACTGGCGCTGCAGAGACTGCAGACAGCTTCACAGCACTGCGCTCAACCGCCTGCGCCACCAGGGGAGGCCCAAAAATGGGGATATTTTTGACTGCAGAATGGAGGCTACTGGAGGTGGGAGGTGGGAACAGGGAGGGCGGGGCCCAGTGGCAGATGATAAAGTACTATGTGTGCTTGATGATGGGTATGAGGACATGAGAACCTATTCCCCTAAATCACATACAATGTTGTAAACCAATGTTACCACAATAAAGGAAAAAAAGGGATATATTAATGGGTGTAGTTTTCAGTTTCAAGGGTATAAAACAAAGATCACAGAATAAAACTGGAAAAGATTAATTTTTGCCAATTCAATAAGTAAAAAGTGCAATCAATTTTAAAATTCCTTACAGTTTTCATTTGTTCATATGACTCACCTGTGTTTTCTCACGTGTTTCTGATTCTTCTACTGAGTGAAGGAAATATTTTATGCCCTTGTAGATAGGGTTGGCCCAAAGATGTAGTAAAAATGATAGATTATCCTTTAACACCCAACATAAATAGTAAGGCGACTAGGGCATCCAATTGAGGTGGTGGTGGTAGCTGACTTTACTGCACCCAGAGGAATGAAAAAATTGTATACATAGAGCATCTTTAACTTGCACCTACCACATGGAGTAAACACATTCAGAAATGTTTGGTCATCTACAAAATAGAAGGATCATATTAAGATCTATCTTGAAAATGTCAATTATGACCTAAGTTAAAAACTCTCAGAATTTTTGCGCCTCCCCTGGTGGCACAGGCAGTTGAGCACAGGGCTGTGAAGCTGTCCGCAACCTCTGCAGCACCGGTTCGATCCCGGCCGGCCTGCGAGGGTCCCACATGGCGAAGCAGACCTCTCCTGTCTCGCCCGCTGCTCCCCTCAGCAGTGTATTTCATCAGTCTACCTGTTCTGATCCCCGCTATGTCTCTGGTGAATCCTCTCACCCTCTCGCGCCTCTTGCCTGTACCCCAGTTCTTGTATAAATAAATAAATAAATCTTAAAAAAAAAAACTCAGAAGTTTTGAAAACAAAGTATCTTTGATAAGTGCAATACTCAGTAATCTTTGGAGGCTCCAAGTACTACCAGAAAATCTAAATGCTATGAAACTCACCCCTAAGAGTTATATTGAATGTTACTAGAATGCTGTTAGCACAAATGTAATTTTTATACCGATCAAACTCTTAATATATCATACAAATCGGCATGCCACTGAACGGAATGCACAGTTTGCAAATGTAGAAAAAGGTGTTAGCAATTTTTATCTATTTCTCTGGGTCCAGCTTTTTTTTTTAAAAGATTTATTTTTATTTATTTTATTTTATTTATTCATACAAGAGCTGGGGTACAGACCAGAGTCGTGGAAGGGTGAGAGGATT